ATTTAACTGTTTGCCTCGGTTCCCCAACTGTAAAATGAGCTTGAGAAGGAAATGGCAAACAGTTCATTCTTTGCTAAGATAACCCAAATGGGGTCACAGAGAGTTGGATGCAACTGAAATGACTCAACAACAATACAATTATTTGTACATTGTCTCCCCCACTGTACCATGAGCTTGTTCGAGGCAAGGAATATGTTTTGCCTGTCTTTTTACTTGACTCCAATGCCCCTTCCTATATGAGGCTTTTCCTGATCATTTCAGTTGCTAGTGCCTCAATTTAAATTTTTTACACACACACACACACACACACACACACACGTGTGTGTATGTGTGTACATTGGCAAACATAAAATACAGAAAAATATATACACACACTTACTGTGCACATGTTTTCTCCCCAAGTAGTATGTAAGCTCCATGAAAAAAGTAACTATTTCATTTTTTTCTTTGTATCTTCAGTACCTAGTACAGTGCCTGGCACATAGCAAATTGTTGTTGTTAATTAAATGTGCATTGCTTGGCCCAAGAAAGTAGAATTAGAAAGAATACACAAAATTGAAATGAGGGAGATTTTGATGTGATGAAACAAACATTTTCACCAAATCAGTTATCTAAAAGTGAAATGGATTAGTTTTGGAAACAGTTCCTTCTTGCTGAAGATCTTCAAGAAAAGCTTGGATAACAAATTTGGGGGCTCTAGGCAGAGTGACACCATTGTGTCAGGGTGAGTTCTGTAGTCACCATTTCCCAGACTGCTTTCATCCTCCTATTTAATTCTGAGTTTAGTTCATTAACGATTTGCACTGTCATTTTAGATATGTGAACTGATGGACTAACTCTACATGTTGCCCATCCAACTCTACATTATGATATCATTCTTCATCTGCTTCATTTTTCCTGTGTGATAGTGAGGCCAAATTCTTTTGAGTAATTACAGACCTTACTTAGGATGTTCTGTAGTGTTCCAAGGCTTGATAAAATCAGTGCTTCATCTGCGAAAAAGGAACATCTGGAGGACCTCACAATCTGCAGGGCGGCTCTGTTTCATTTGTTCTCTGTGATGGACATCCTCCATAACAGTGGCAAACACATTTGATGAACTTGTGTCTCCCTGCTTTATCCTTTATTTGACATTATTCTGTAATATTTACCAAGATATCTTTTATAACCTCAACATGTGCTTGGGTTGTGGGCGGGGGGAGGGAAAGGGAGGAGAAACAGGCTTTAAGGCTCTAGTATCAAATATTTGTTAATCATACTAAGACCTAGTATTCTCTGCTCCCTTCAGGCAATTGGATGAGTTTAATAATGTGCTTTTCTCAAGACTATGGATTGTGAAAGTATCCTTGTTCCATTTTTATACTGTCCTTAAAGATTTAGTCTTTCGGATATCAATCCTTCAATCCCTCCAGCTCATGTTCAGTTGGGACCTCCTCTGTGTATACTTGGTCTATATATTGTTCCTCCTTTCTTTCCTTCTTTTGTTTTCTTGAATATCATTTCTACTTCCTTATGCAGCAATGTAAGACTTCAAAAATGGTGGCCCTACAGCTAGTGAAGAAAAAAGCAGTTTCTTGTAAAATAAACCCTGAGATCTATATATTTCTTGTTCTCCCAGTTTCATCTTTAAATGCTTTGGGGGGAAATATGGTTAATTTAGTCTCTTGTTAAGTTTTATGTAAATCTTTTTTCATTCCATCACTTTACCCCTTGATTTATCTCTTTGATAATAGTGACCATGACCTCTTTTCCATTCCTTGCCCAGGATACTACATTGAAGAGGTTTCATTGGCTATCCCCCATGCCTGGAATGCTCTCCCTCCTCATCTCTGCCTCCTAGATTCACCGGCTTCCTTTAAGTCTCAGCTAAAGCTCTACTTGCTTCAAGGAACTTTTCCTAGTCCTCCTTAACTCCCGATGTATCCCTTTTATATCTTATTTATACATAGTTGTTTGTATGGTGTCTCCCCCATTAGATTGCGAGCTCCTGGAAAGCAGACACTGTTTCTTGCCTTTCTTTGTGTCCCTGGCACTTCCTTGCAAATGCTTTACATGGTTAGACTTTAGCAGGAAAACAGCAGTAGTCCACAGTATTGCTGTGCTATAAGAAATGATGTATGTGATGAATATAGAGAAGCGTGGAAAAGATCTACATGAATTGATTCAGAATGAATCACAGCCAAGAAAACTATTGTTTTATATTTATTTATTCTGTATATTTACAGAATAACTACAACAATGTAAATGGAAATAAAAACTACACACACACAAATACAATCAAAAGTGAATGCAGCAAAAATATAATGCTCAAAAATAGGACTAAAGTGAAGAGAGAAAACACCCCCAACCCACCCTTTTGTGGAAGTGGGAAGTCCACAGTTGTTACATGTTACACATGTTTTAGGACCCTTTTAATATATTGTTCAGTTATGCTTATTTTATTTTCTCTTCTTTTTCTTCCTTTTCATCTTTAAAAAATATTTTGTTACATGAGATGGCTCTCTGGGAGAGGGAGAGGTAGGGATATTGGGGAAAACTATGATGGTGTAAAAAGTGAAAGAAATAAAAAACTTATTTAAAAAATTAAAAAGACATCAATAAAATTGTTTTGTTATTGTTGTTTTAAGAAAAGATATTCATGAGATTTAGGCATGAGGATTCTAGGTAGTGTACAAGACTTTGGATTCTTTAATTTCTTGATCCTGAGTCAAATTTTCACATTCCTTCCCAGTGCCTATTGTGGTATTCAAATCCACCAATTATTAAAACTGACTTAATTTGAAGTGACATATCAGTGGGCTTTTTGGTAGCATTTTTCCACTTCTTTATATTATTGAATAGACGTTATTGGCATATAAACTGCAATTTATCTTTAAGATGATCTTTTTTGCTTATGCTCATTATAAACCATGACCAAACGTCTATCAAAATATGTCTTGCTTTGTTTTGATGCATGATATCAAACCTGTCAAGCCTGTATTGATGGCTGCACTTTTGCTTCAAAAAAGTTATGTGCTTTTTTTTTTAAACCAAGCTGTTAATTCTCTTTTCACATCTTTTTTTCCATAGCTCTCATTTGGTATTTAAAATTATTTTTTTTTAGTTCTTTTAAGTCTTTCTTTAACTCTTTCTGGAATTCTTTTTGTGTCTGTGTCCAATCTGAATTGTTCTCTGAAATCTTGTTTATAGATGTTTTTAAGTCATTGTCTTCATCACTAGAGTAGTTCTTCATGTTTAGGTCCTTTTTTTGCTCATTTTTCTAATTTCTTTAATTTGGACTCTATGTTAGTGTTGGACTCTACTCACCTCTAGGGGGGGATATCTGGTCTTAGCTTTTGTTCTTCTATGTCTTTCACAGATCAGCGCGGGGGACTGAATGTTTTCAAGGCTTCCAAAGTGGTATGACCTGGGGAAAGGCCGTTCACTGACCTCTTGGTCTGAGCTCTACAAGTTGGGTCTGTTGGGTATAGTTGAATTATACTAGACAGCTGCTGGACTCAGCGTTAGCCCACTGGGAGGCTTTCCAGATTCAGAGCAACTCAACTCCGTTTTAGTCTTGGTCTCCTGCCCTGATTATTCCATTGCAGATTTATGTACTAAGCTAAAAATTAGAACTGAGTTACTTCTCTTCTCCGGAGCTCAGAGCCATACTTCTATGTTTCTGGAATTTTTTTTGTTTTTTTTTTTTTTTTGGTGCTCTGTACTCAACTAAGGCCCCACTTGCTTGTAATCACTCCTTGATGCCCTGGGTCTATGACCTAGAAGTGAGTAATGGGTGACAGAGCTACCAGATAGCACTCAGTTTTGATCCCAGTGTCAGTTCAAGGATTCCCACAAGAGAACCCACTCTTTCTGTCCCAGAGTTCTGTCTCCCTTTCCATACTTGGGCACTAGAATGCTTCTAATCCCTGCCACTGCTGACACTGCACTGTGCTTCTCTTAAGTCTCAGTCCCAATGTCAGTAGAATTTTCTGTCTGTCTTCTTAAACTGTTCTGGGCTAGAAAAATGACTCGCTGTGACTTTTCCTTGGCTTTCCCTTTCAAAATTCAGTCTAGCATATTTTCTAGGTTATTGTAGAGGAGTTATGCTAGGGAGCTAAGGCAAAAATGCTTCCTTTCACTTAGATCTTGATTCCATCACTAAGGAAATCTTTTGTATCACCTTTCCTTTAGTTGTAACTTCCTAATACCTTTTGGTTTCTTTTTTAGTGAGAATATCAATATTGACATGATTCAGTGCCTCCAGTTGTATTCAGTAGTCATAATATCTGAAAGAAATTACTTTGTTCTTTTCTTAGTTAGTGTCTGGACAACACTGAATAAGCCAGGAACAAAGACTATACCTCACAGTCCTCTCAATTCCACAACTGTTCTTTATCCCAAGGGATCTAAAGATTCAACACACCTAAGTACAACTCAACTTGCACACAGACAAATAAATTACAGAGATGGCATATTCTATGTGTCTTGGACCACAGAGCACATTATGTGATAGGCTGTACTTCAAATCTCATGTATACTTATGTTGGAAAGTAGGCATCACTCTCCAGGAAATCACAAATGACTTACGTTTGCAACTCCTTTCTTGTCAGTCTTGCCCCCTCTCTCCCTCAACCTCCATCATTTTTTTTTTCCTTTATGAGTTCTTTTAGACAATTTGACATTCACCAGGTACTCTGGCACCAGGCCTCTTAGGGCATTTCTCATTAGTCTGGTTCCACCAGAACCTTAAAACTATCAGAGTTGCCTTTCCCACTATATCAACAGCTAAAATCCTTTAGGGCTTATTAGGACCATAAGACTATGCTCAGTCTTTACTCCCTATCTGTGGCCATTACTTTATGCCTAGACTAGGTCAGCCATATCTGAGAATTCTGGCAAGTCTCTGTTTCAATTTCAGATGCTGGAACTGACTATTTGGAGCTCTCTAATGAGGGACTGAAATTGACACCTAACTGTGACCTGCTTCCTGTTGCTAGGTGATGGCAACTAGACAGTACCTGTCGCAGGCTGAAAGTTCCTCTGAGTGCCAGGGCTTGATGGGGTCCGAGGAGAACCGTTGGGCCGCTCCCATGTAGTCTCTAGTCAAAGAGAATAGCATTGTGAGTGTCAAAGGACAGAACAAGAGATAGCAAATTAAAGAAGGATGAAGCCAAAAGGGAGATCTTTGGTGGCTTAACAGGGAAGGGTCTTTTTTTTTCTTTGTCCAGAAAACCAAGGGGCATGACAGGATTCTCCCCATTTGTCCCTCCCCCATGTTCATAGCCAGAGTCTCAAGGAAGGGAAAGACCTGCTTATTTGTGGGCCAGAAGTCTAGGATTCATAGGCAATATTGTGGCAGAGATGGAGTTACCTACTATAGGCTTGGAATTTCCAAATTGAACCCTCTTTTTAAAAAAAAAAATTAAAAAGGAAAAGAAAACAATTTTTTTTACCGAAGTCCCAGAAAGCTTATTGCAAAGACAAGCTACCCTCTCTCATCCCTTAATCGAACATACCCAGTGAATACCAACTAAAATTTTGTTTGAAGTGTTTCACTGGTTCCCATGAAAATGCTGACATTTACAAGCCTCCTGGGAGAAACAGGGCTCTTAGAAAAAAAAAAATCTTCATCAAGGAGAAACCACAGTGTGGCCCTTGAGATATTACCTCCCATCCAGCATACATCAACTGCCATTAGGATAGAAAGAAGATCCTACTCTCTGAGTTAGTATTACTGCTGGGAATATTTATTGTATTTCTACACTGGAAGTCCCCAAAACTTTTGGGAAAAGATGTTACTTTTCATATTTCCTAAGCTTTGTGATCACTTAACCTGAGGCTTAGGAAAACGAAATTATAAAAGTCCTAATAGATTGAAGAAAGCAAGTCTCAGCTTTATTCCTGTTCCACTTCAAAATCTTGGCAAATGGTGGAAGGATAACAAATTTAGAATGATAAGACTCTTTATCCGCCCTCCTCATTTTACAGAAGAGAAAATTGAGGCCCACATGGGGAAAGTGACTTGGCCAGGGTCATAACAGATAGTAAAGTAGGAAGAGCTAGCCTTTGAACTTATTTTCTGATTCCAAATTCTCTTTTCCCACTACTGTTTCTCCTGGTGACTTCATCAGTCTGTGGATTCAATGATCAACTCTATGCTGATGATTCTCAAATAGACTTAGCCCTACTTTTTTATTTTATTTTATTAATTTATTTCAATTTATCAATAATCACTTCCAGATGCTTTTGAGTTTAAAATTTTTCTACCCCTTCCTGCCTACCACCCTCTCCAAAATGGAGCACAATCTGTTATAGGCTATATATTTACATACCTATTAAACATATTTTCACATTAGTGACATTGTAAGTAAAAGTTAAAACCAATAACAGTAACCATCAGAAAGAGGAAACAAAACTCAACAGAAGAGAAAAAAAATAGCAATTCAACTTCCATAGTTCTTTCTTTGGATATGGATAGCATTTCCCATCCCAAGGCCTCAGGAGATGTCTTAGATCCTTGTATCGCTGGGAAGGGTTAAGTTTATCACTATTAGTCATCCCACAACGTGGCTATTATTATGTACTACATTCTCTTGGTTCTGCTCACTTCACTCAACATCAGACCATACAAGTCTTTCCAGATTTTTGTGAAGTCAGCCTGTTCATCATTTCTTATAGCACAATAGTATTCCATTACATTCATATACCACAAATTGCCCAGCCATTTTCTAATTGATTTCCAATTTTTTGCCACCACAAAAAGAGCTGCTATGAATATTTTTGTACATGTGGGTCCTTTTCCCTCTTGTATGATCTCTTTGGGATATAGCCCTAGAAGTGCTATTGCTGGGTCAAAGGGTATGTACATTTTTATAGCTCTTTGTCAGCCTTACTTTCTCAGTTGGCCCACAGACTTGAATCTCCTAATGCCAACTGGATGTCTCACAGACATCTCCAAATCAACATGTCCAAAACTCATTATCTTTCTTCACAAACTCTCTCCCCTTTATAACTTCCTTATTATTAGAATACTGCCATTTCCCCAGTCTCCTAGGCTCAAAACCTAGGTGTCATCCTTGATTCCTCACTCTCACCCCCCATAGCCAATCTGTTGAGATGTCTTGTTGATTTTATCTTCATAATATCTCTCACAGTATGTCTGTTTCTCTCCTCTGACATTGTCAGCATCTTGGTACAGTACTTCATTACCTCATGCCTAGATTATTGGAATAGCCTGTTGATTGGTCTCCCTGCCACAAGTCTCTCCCCACTATACTCAGCTGTCAAAGGGATCTTCCTAAAGTGCAGATCTAACCATGCCTCTATCCCCTTTCAGTAAGCTCTATTTGCTCCCTATCACCTACAGGATCAAATATAAAAACTTCTACTTGACATTCAAACCCCTTCATAACTTGTCTTCATTTCCAGTCTTCTTACATCCACCCACTCATCCACCCCAGTACTCTTCAATACAGAGACACTGGCCTCCCTTGCTTATAAGAAATCTGATTCCAATTATTTTCACTAGCTGTCTCCCATGCCTGGAATGCTCTCTCTCCTCATTTCCACTTCTTGGCTTTCTTGGTTTCTTTTGAATTGCAGATAAAAATTTCACCTTCCACGTGGAAGCCTTTCCTGATCTTCTTTTAATGTTAGTGTTTTCTCTCTGTTGATTATTTCAGATTTGTTCTGTATATCAGTCAATAAACATTGTACATAGCTTGTTTATATGTAGTTGTTTGTATGTTGTTGATCCTATTTGATTATGAGCTCTTTGAGGGTAGGGGCTGTCTTTTACCTTTCTTTGTATTCCCAGAGCTTAGCACGGTGTCTGGAACACAGTAGGCACTTAATGAATGACTGACCATGCTTGAGATGGTAATATACTTGGAGATCTACTATGTTAAAAAGCTGCTTCTGTCTAAGCATCACCCATCTCTGCTCAAACTTCAACTTAGGATGTAATAAGGAATATTTTAAAAAAAAAACACTAGATGGTACAGTAGTGGATAGAGTATTGGATCTGGAGTCCCGAAGACCTGAGTTCAGATCCTGCCTCAGATACTCCCAGCTATGTGACAATATCACACAAGTAACTTAACCTCTTTCAAGCTCAGATTCCTCATCTGTGAAAATAGAGATAATAGTAACTACACTTCAAAGGGCTGTTGTGAGGATTAAAAGAAATAACATAATATTAAGAACTTTGCCAAAGTACTATAAATGTTAGTATCATTAAAATGGAAATCAAGACCTGTGTAGCTAGTAACTATTACCCCACGTCACAACTTCTGGGATGAAGGATCTATCTAGTGCCATAGGAAGACTCTAAGTATCCCATTTTCTCTTCTGGTCACAGCTATACCACAGTAATATAAAACAAGTCTGTATCATAAATTGAGGGCCAGAATTTACCTTAGTAGGCTGATAATCTCCCTGAATGCAGCTGTACTATGAAGTTAGGAAAGCAACCCACCTGGGTTTTATCATTAGCAGCAAAAAGGCCAGTCAGATATCTTCCAGTTGACCACACCACCCACACAATAGGAATCAAGGCCAGTGTGAAGTCAGAAATGTGTCTTGGCCTTGGTAATATCAGACTAGGTGAGGTCCATCGAAAATACTAACTTCAGCAGTATTTAGGGCAGCATTTGAGTCCTTGGTCAGCTTAGATGTTGGCAAAGGTCTCAATTCATGAAAAAACATTTTCCTGACCTGGAACCCTAGAAGTACAGGTTAAAATTAAAGCAAAAGGATTGAGACAGACTTGCCAAATAGCAGCCCCTCCCACTCCCCTCCCCTCACCCCCACACCCAGTTTACATGGAAACACATTTTTCTGGAATGACAACTTCAACTCAATCTTTGGCTGCACCCACTGAAAGCAAAGGAGCCAAGCACACCCTAAAAAGGAGAGCTATGCACAGCCATGAGATCAGAGGGGACCATCACTCTGGCCATCACCACAGCAGCCCAGAAACTAATCTTTTTTTCCTTTGATGGCTCCATAACCTACCCAGGTCCTTTCCAAGACTATGAAGGGAGAGAAGCAACACATCTGGATTATATTCTTAGCAGCAACAAATCCTTTAAGTAGCCATTTTATTTACAGGTTGAAGGTTAATGACCCAGTTAAGGAGCTATTTTGTTAAGGAACTACTTTGGAGTAGTTCATCTGAATTTCAAAGAAAGGGACAAATCAGTGAAACCTTACTCCAGAGCTGGTATCCTAGGAGAACTGCAGGACAACAGAAGAACAGTTTATCTTGAAATATTCATCTGAGAATGAAGATAATTTCCCCTTTTCTTTTAATTTGTCCTTTTCAGTTCAGCTATATACCCCCTTCAGCCTACCCAGTGTCTGTGTCAGCTGGTCTGTCTCTCTCCAGGCATTCTGCTGTTTTCCCTCCCTCTGTATTTCTCATACCTCTGCAGTGTGTCGAGGCTGGTATTTCAGGTTCTTCTTGGCATGGTTCAACCCTATCAGTAGCACAGTCCCTGTCTTTCTTGATTCTGTTACAGAAGTTGTTGGCTCACCCAACAGCTTGTCCCACCCCCTTCTTGGATATAGTTTCTCTGAGTCCTGTGAGGGTAGTCCAGGTCCCAGGCAAATTGCTGGAATGCAAATGTCTTCTCTCACAAGTCTTTGGGAGTAGTTGCAAAATATAGCTGCTAATTTATCTTCATATGTGGTTGTTTTAGTTTTTTACATTTTATATTTACATTTACAGTTTTCTAATTATTCTGTGTCCACCACCAGGCAATAAATGTTTCAATGGCATGGATAATATCCTTTTTCGAACAAAATATAGTGGGGGGTTTTTTGTTTGTTTGTTTGTTTGTTTTAGGCAATTGGGGTTAAGTGACTTGCCCAGAGTCACACAGCTAGTGAGTGTCAAGTGTTTGGTCTAAGGCCAGATTTGAACTCAGGTCCTTCTGACTTCAGGGCCTGTGCTCTATCCATTGTGCCACCTAGCTGCCCCATAATATAGTGTTAATAATATTGAAGGCAGTTAGGTGGCTTAATGGATAGTGTGCTGAACCTGGAGTCAAGAAGATCTGAGTTCAAATCTGACCTCAGTCACTTATTAGCTATGTGA